CGACGGAGGTGACGTCGGCGCCGATGGGGGGCGGGGTGGTTCCAAAGCCCGAACTGCAGTATGCAGATTTCGGTCATCATGCCAGTCTGGAGTAGATCTACATCGCTGCACAACATGGGGGAAGACTTGCACGACGGCGGGCTCCATCCACGACCCCTCGATCAATTGCAGCGGCCCAGAGGTGCGAGAAGTCGCGAGACAGGCGCGTCTTTCCAAGGGCGAACGTCGGACTTTCGGACGGCGCGCCGCGCGCGAGCCTAGTGCGCTCAAGACGGAGGCCACAGCCAGCATGGAGGCTTTGAGACGGGCGGAGGCGATTGCATTCAGAGAAATGCGATTGCGATGTCCCCGCGCGATAATATTTGCTTGCTTTTCTCTCACATGGGGCATCTGCTCCAGTCGCGCATAGAATCGCATTGGTTTCCAAGGGACTTGACAAGCTCTGGGGAGTGCCGGCCAGAGTCGATCTAGGACAATCACCGCTTGATGTTCAAGAAATGTGCTTATCGATTGACGCCCTACCCACGGGTTCCCATGGCAGCGAGCAGCATTTGACATCTTGACTATGCAGCACACGGTGCAAACCCACATCGTACTCTATTGGCTGGCAAAACCAGGTTCCCAACACTTACTTTTTGTTATGACGTTGGCTGTTCACGGACATGCAATCGAACCAACGCATGGCAATTAGTTACTGGGCAGTTCTTGTATTCCAGCACACGCAACAGCAACTACACTAGCTATTATTTTCCCTTCGGTATCCCTGGCCATATATACATACACATACATATAGATGTATGCATGTATGTATATATATATATATAGATAGATAAGGCCTCGCGCGCCAACGTCATCCACGGACCCGCGGAAGTATTTTCGCGGGCGCTGAAGGAGCTGAAGTGGACCCTCGACGGGGGCATGGTGATGCAGCGACCTGCAGGGGGGTCCTGAAATCCAGCGATTTGCTATTCCGCCACGTCTAACGAGTCGATTTGAGACGAGCGATTTGGAAGACAGGGCTTCAGCCACACACCAGGAAGGCCAAGCACCTGGGGGCAGAATCGGCGGGCGCCCCCGACGGCGTAGACCTTGGGACCGCGGTCAGACTGCGCCTATCTCAGACGCGCCTATCTCAGACGCGCCGGCGCCAGCAGCGCTACCGCGACACCAGCCGACCGGTAAGAGGAAGCGCAGTTTGCGGGACATCGCGGTCAGTTGGGCCCATGACCTCAGATCAGCTTTGCGCGTCGGCTTGCGCTCGTGATCCAGATTTCCTTCGCTGCAGTACGGAGGGTCCACGGGGGACTTGCGCCGCGTCTTCCGGGGGCGCGCGGCCTCGAACGCGCGCGGCGGTGGGTCGCGGAAACACTTGCGCAGGAGGAGTGGGGCGAGGTCCCGATATGGACCGCGATTCCAGGGCTCGTCTGCGACGCTGCGCCTGGGCGATTTCTCCGAGGCGGTTCCAGGCGCGGCTGGTGGCCCAGGCCTTGCGCCGCCACGGCTGGGAGAGGGCGAAATGTCTTTGGCTCGGTCAGCTTTTCGGCGGTAGAAAGGGGCGGGGCGGCACCGTCGGGGCAGATCGACCCGCGGCCTTGGCGAGCAGGATGGCCAGTATATTGTGGTCCAGGACTCTGGCACAGCGCGATGGCACCAAGGCGTGGGGCGCGACACAATGCACAGTTATCGGAGGTCTGGTCAGCATCTCAATGGGCTGCATGGGTTTGGGCACGACAAATATCCATTGCGGCTTCAGAATGTGCGCGCAAATTCATGACCGCCACGATTGAGAGAAGAATTATCGCGTTTCGTGCGCGCAAAAACCGGCGGGGACACATGGCCCTAGCGAAGGGGCTATAAGACTCCAAGGCCGAGAAGGTGAGCTGCCACCGGAACGAGGAGACTGGCTAACGAGATCCCAACAGCAAAGCAGGCTAGGCCACACAACAAAGCGGCCGATCGACGAGTGGTTCAGGGAGCCGAGCAACACTATATAAATGAGGACACGATCGCGAAGTACAAGGCGCGGATAAACAGTGCAGAAGACGTCCAAAATATACTGATGGATGAGTCAAGCAAGAGCGGCCGTCGGCTGAACATTGTTTTGCAAAAAGGATAGAGGTGCACGGGCCCACTAGGATTTCGAAAAACAGCGGGAACGCGCTGAATCGAGGCATGTTCTAGCGAAACTGGAGGAACCTGATGGTTTGGGATGTGGCAGAGGCACGGGCGAGGAACAGGGCGTCTTGGCTTCGGATGGGGGGATGGGCGAGGAGAATGGACAAACGCCACCCCGACGTGCCCGAAGTGAAACAGCGAGGGGCGGCGCGAAAACGGCGGAGACCCGCGTGGTAACGAGGGCGGAGCGAGATAAGCGGGCTGCAGTAGCGACTTCGAGCTCGACGTGGAGAACACCTTCCCCTGGGGGCCCCGCAGGTTCTTGGGGCGGGGACTTGGGGCCTAAAACGGTCAAGACCATGTGCGCAGCTTTCGGGGCCGAAGGGGCGCAGATCGGAACCGCGATCAAAATGCATGTCATCTCTCCAAACTCCTGGCGGGCACGAAGGATGGTTCGAGAAGGGCCCCCCCCCCCCCTGAAAGTCCGGAAGCTGGCGGGAAAAAAGGTCAACGAAGTTAGTTGGATCTGGAAGCTGAGCAACGCAAGGGCGTTTTTCTGGCACTCGCCGAAGACGCGTGTAGACTTGGATCCGCCGGCGGCTTCTGGGCATCTCCAGGCGACGCCAGCACATGATGCGGCATCCTTCACAGCGGTGACCGATTCCATGTTCGCGACGGGTGAAAGTATGGCGTTGAGATCGAGCAGCGGAGTAAACAGCATAGGAATGCAGTCAGATGTTCACAGCGCGTCGAACGATACGTTGGGACGTTTCGGGGCGACGATGACCGCCAAGAGGTTGCAGTTTTACCGCCGCTACACGCGCAGAAGAGGCCACTGTGGATAATGCCAGAGGCCACGAAAAGCCTCTTGGACAACATAGCGGTAGCGGCAATCAACAAGGACGAACCTCAGCTTTGGTCGGGGTCGTATTTTTCCAGCGCGCGAGGTCACACCTGTGTGGGGAGGGAATTTGAAGGTCTGCGCTATGAGAAGGATGAGTGGCAAACAACCAGTTGTTGCCTTTGGATAAACAAAATATGGTCAAGTGATTGCGCCACAGAATGTGATGCACCACTTGCGCCACAACGCTCTGCGATGTAATCTTGTTGATCACATTCCTTGGAGGACCGCGAGTGCCATAGCAGTTTGGGACACATCTTCGAGAGGCGGGAGGAGGAACTACGATTTCATGATGTCCAGGCAAGGAACGACGAGTACCAGCACCTCTTCCTCTGGCGTTCCCCAGGTACGAAAAGATGACATTCTCTGGCGTGTGGGCGATATCGGTTGCTCCGCTGTTTGCAGGACTGCAGTGGGAAGCGAGGCCGCGGGGCGATCTGGGAATCTGCTCGGCCCTCCTGCCCGGGGGGACCCAGCATGTGAAGACAGGGGATGGCATGGCGTGGCTGGCAATCCGTGTCCAATACATAATACAGTCGGGGCCCTGAAGAAGGAACCTTTTTCGTTGGGGCGGGGTTCCGCGTTCCTTAAGTGTTTCACAGCTTGCCTCAGGCTTTCCTTATGTGTTCGACCGGAAATCGAAGGTTAACTTATGGAAAAAGGGGCCTCGTTCCATATTTAGGGATCCTTAGGTCAACGCCCCGACTGTATGTCCAGCCTGCTCCAAGAAGCTGGAGGGGCACAACAACCAGGTCATCGACAAGAGCGAGCATCAATCTCTTGTCCGATGGCAGCGAAGATGGCACAATCTCTTTTTTGTCGCAAGGCCGGTTGCAAGTTTCATGTGCGAGATTTCGAGAGCCCTGTGTTTTTTTCACGCTATGTAATGCAAGTATGAGGGTACATCTGCCGAAAACGGGAGAGGGGAATTTGTTCAGAAACATGTGGCACATGCTGTTCATGACGACTTCCTGGATATTACACTTCCTTTGGAATCGTGAGGAGGTCGTCAACCAGATGCTGTACTCCACACTTCGGGTACAACATCCTCATGGGCACATACACACGACAACGGCGATATTTCGACGATGACGAGGACGGCGGGCGACGACGACGACGCCCACGACTTCGTTTCTGAGGTTCCTGGGCGTTCCTGGAGGGTCGTCGTCGCAAGGCGAAAAGACGGCCGGCACGAGCCTGGGCCATTTTCCGGTGGCGGCGACGAGTGCGACGGCTGCGACGTCGCCGTCGTCCGCGAGGCCTTCGAAGGCCGCCGCGCGCGCTTCGCCACCGCCGAGACCGCCGCCCGCAACGCGGAGGTCAGCACCATGCGCGCCACCCGGAGGCGCAGCGCGGCCGAGGCGGCCGAGGGGGCGCCGTGAAAAGAAGGGGAGGGGCGAGGCAGGAGGAGGAGGAGGAGGAGGAGGAGGAGGAGGAGGAGGAGGAGGAGGGGCCTTGGTCAATCATGAAGTCATCGGGCTCCGCCTCCTCCCTCGCGGTCTCTCCCTCCCCCCTCTGCCTCCCTCTTCGGGGGCCCGCCGCATGCCCCAACGGCCCGGCACGGCGAGCGAGAACAGTCAGTCAGCTTCTGAGTGCCACAGGCTCCCCTGCTCACCTGGCCAGGACATGAGCCCGCGGCCGAAGCCTTGAGCACCCGCTTCCGTAGCGTCGCTGACTCTGTGCCTGGCGTGCATGTCCAAACGCGCGCAACAGCGTCTCGAGGCTGCGGCCGCAACCACCCGGCTGCAGGAGGCCCGGGCACGTGCCCGCGACGGTGATGCGCACGCCCGCTCGTTCGCGGATCGCTCCCCCACTCCCCCCGACGGGGCCTGGGATCACGAGGCCCTGCCGGCGTGTGGCGCTCCCCCCACGCCCCGCGAGGCCTCGGACCGCCCTCGCTCCCCACGCGCCCTGCCCCCCCCCCCCCCCTCGGAGGCCTCCGCCCGGCGCGAGGCGCAGGCGGTGGAGGCCGCGCAGCACCGGCGCGGCGCGGCCGCCGCGGAGGGCGCCGCGCGGCTGGAGGCGCTGGCGGCCGCCGTCGCGGACGCGAGGACCGCCGGCATGCGCGAGGAGCTCCGGGGCGGAGGTAGGAGGAGGAGGAGGAGGAGGAGGAGGAGGAGGAGAAGGAGGAGGAGGAGAGGAGCAGGAGGAGGAGGAGGAGGAGGAGGAGGAGCAGTCGAGGTCCGGGCTTACGTCGGGCGTGTCCTTCTGCAGGGGGGGAGATTCAAAGGTAGTCAAAACGTATGGTCTGGCTTCCCAGGCAGTCGAGGTCTGGGCTTACGTCGGTCAGCGGGCGAAGAACGGTATAACATAAACCTTTTCGCTGTCGGGGGCGCCCGTCCCTGGGCGGCTGGGAAGTTTATACCCCTACGGTGCCACCGCAGGGGTATAAACTTTCCAGCCGCCCTGGGACAGGCGCCCCCGACAGCGAAAAGGTTTATGTTATACCGTTCTTCGCCCGTTAAGTCGGGCCTGTCTCTCTACAGGGGGGAAGATTCAAAGATAGTCAAAACGTAGTCTGGGGACGATTTGTTTTGGCTATGTTTGGCCACTCTGGAGTCTTGTTGGGGTATTTTGTTTCTCTTGCGTGCAAAATCCGCCTGTAGGGGGACATGCCCGACCTCAATCTAGGCCTCCTAGATGGGGTCGGAGTAGGTGGGGTCGGAGGATCGCCGATGCATCGCCGCTGCGGGTCGATGCTCAGCTCGGCTTTCTCCGCGCAGGCGTCGCCGATGCACCGCCGACGGCGCCGATGCATCGCCGATGCATCGTTGAACCGGCATCGCCGGTTCATTGGCGATGCGGCGCGATCCTCCGACCCCATCTTCTCGGACCCCCATTTAGGAGGCCTCTGCAAGAGTTTCGGGCCCTGCGCACTGGGGAGCGACAAGTGGGGGGGAGGGTGAAGAAGGGGTGCACCTCGCAGGGTTGGGTTTCTTGCAGGGTTTCTGGTGGATCGGCCCCCACTGTAGGGATGGGGGGGGGCACGTCAGGGGAGACGACGGTTTCGGGCTCGAGGCTCGAGGTTTTCTGCCGTCCTCGTCGGTTCTCGGCGGTGTTCCGGCCTCGGTTGCAGCTCCCTGGCAGCTGCGCTTCGCCGAGGTCGTTCCAGTGGCGTCCGAAGCGTAAGATTTTAGCCTTGGAGGGCATGTTCTTCGTGCTTGTGCCCTCCTCGGAGTGCTTGTCCTTTTTCGGGGGCATCTTCACGGGTCTTGGGTTTTCGGGGAAGGGGCCCATATTTTTGGCCCACGTTCGTTCTCGTGGCCATGCTCTGGCTGCACGCGAGGATCGAGGCTGTGGGATCGCGTCGGAACGACGATGACGACGGGGGCGGAGGGAAATCCAGGCCTCTCATATCCAGGGGCGAAGTTAGCTGGGGATGGACTCAGGGAGGGGGCATCGACCGCAATCGCCCGATAGGCGACCCGATAGCTCACCCTTCACGGGAACGCTCGGATTCGTTTTCGGGGGCCTATCGCCGATGCATCGGCGATGTATCGCCGATTCCAGCTCGATGTGTCCCCCTAAGCCGGTCCCCCTTTACAGCTTCCCTGCCACATATGCGGGGATCGAGGACATGACACCTCGTCGCGACGACGACGGATTTTTGATTCTTATTGGAGAGGCCTGACGGCCGGTGCCGCCGACCCTGATCGAAAGGGCTAGGAGGGGGGGGAGGAAGCGGAGGAGGAGGAGGAGGAGGAGGAGCAGGAGCAGGAGGAGGAGGAGGAGTATGACACCTCGTCGCGACGACGACGGATTCTTGATGTCTTATTCGTTAGAATCGGTGCTCGGAGGTTTCCCTGCCTCGGGCTGCTCTCCGGCAGCCGCACCTCGCCCGCAAACGGCCACCGGAGGCCCGAGAGTCGTGGCCCGCAGGCCACTGCCCGACCTCCCCAGTAGGGCCGGGGCAGTCGAAGGCCAGACTGTCAGATTGGACTGGGCCCCACGGGCCAATCTGGCCTGGCCAAGCTGGAGGATTTGGGTTCTTCGCCGGACTGGAGTCGCGCTGGCTCCCTCGCCAGATTGCCCCCGTTTGCCAGACTGGGCCTGCCAGATTGGCGCCAGATTGGCTTCGACTACCCAGGTAGGGCCGGAGCAGATGGGGTCGGAGGATCGCGCCGCATCGCCGATGTATCGGCGGTGCGGCTCGATGTGTGTCCCAATCTTCTCCACGCTGACGTCGCAAATGCATCGGCAATACATCGGCACGATCACCCGACCCCATCTACTCGGTGCCCATGTGGGAGGCCTCCAGGGAAGGGACTGGGGACGACACATCACAATTTTCTCAGCATGGAAGTCCATGCGGAATTCCGAATTCCGAACGCATCTGCTTATAATGTTGTGTTTCTAGTAACAAATTCGGGGTGCCCCAACCCGTTAGTGGGCCCAGTTTGCAGGTGTTACCACTTCTGAAGAACACAGTGGTCGCAAGCGTCCGTCGTGGTTGACACTCAGCGTCAGGGCGGAAAGGGCGCCAAGAAGGGGGCCCTTGAGGGGGAAGGGAAGGAGGAGGCTAGATCAGGCTAGATCCGAAGATGGAGCAAGCTCCCTCGCTACCCGCGAAAGCTTGAATTTTGGGAAAAGCTCAAAAGGGGGTCCTCCCGAGGATCCGAGAAGCCATGAAATGCAGCGACCACTGGTACATGTCTATCGGCTTTGGGATCTCCAACGCATAGTCTCCTGATCGGGGGGCAGAATCAGAGCTCGCCTCCGCGACGCTTTCCCCACCTTGAGCTCGGATTTCCAAGACGGAGCGCACAGAGGTCCTAGTTCAGGGGTGCGGGGGCTTGGCCTAACTTAGACGGAGGCTTCTCCGAGTCCTACCACGCCGAGGGGCTGGCCCAGAATTTGCGTTAAAGGAGGAGGTGGAGGAGGAGGAGGAGGTGGAGGAGGAGGAGGAGGACGGGGAGGAGGAGGAGGAGGAGGAGGAGGAGGAGGAGAGGAGGAGGAGGAGGAGGACGAGGAGGACGAGACGAGGACGAGGACGAGGAGGCCAAGGAGGAACAGGAGGGGGTGAGGGTGGCCTGGGTCGAGAAGAAGGAAGACGAGGAGGAGGAGGAGGAGGAGGGAGGAGGAGGAGGAGGAGGAGGATGAGGAGGGCCTTGAGCAGCAGGGGGCGGGCAGGGGACGAGGAGGAGGAGGATGAGCAGAAGGAGGAGGAGAAGGAGGAGGAGGAGGAGGAGGAGAGGACGAGGACGAGGACGAGGACGAGGAGGAGGAGGCCAAGGAGGAACAGGAGGGGGTGAGGGTGGCCTGGGGCCGAGAAGGAGGACAACGAGGAGGAGGAGGAGGAGGAGGAGGAGGAGTGACCAGAAGTGACCATGAAAGGACGAGCGTCCGCAAAACAAAACGGGTTGGGCGGGGACTAATCAGACGATGAGTCCCCGCCCTCTCGGTGAGGGATCCTGGTGGGTCGTCGGGGCGCACCACCCACACCCCCTTCACCGAAGGCCTGCAGAATACTACCCTCCTCCCGAGCCTCCCTCGCACGCTGGACCGCGTCCGAAGCTTCACGCTGCACTCTGGCCAGCTGCACAGCCTTCGGGGGTCCCCTGTGCGAGGGAAAAACGCCTCGACGGATCCTGTCAAGGTTCTGGGCTCCTTTGGGGGAGGGCTCTTGGCAGGGTCTTGCGAGCCACCTGCCATCTACTGTGGCGGTGAGCCCACAGCAAACACAAAAATGCAAGGAAAACTCGGGCCAGAAGAAGATTTTGTGGGACGAGTGGGCCGAGGTGGCCCCAATCAAAATCTCACCAGTCCTCAAGACAAATTGGCTCCACTCCGACTTCTGGCCTCGGACCTCTGGGGCCAGACCTGGACAAGACTGGGCACAAAACTTGAGGAGCTGGGTGGTGGCAACAATCTGACTGCAAACCCTACAGCGCCATCTGCCCCCGACCTGCTCACAATCATGAGAGGTGTCCCTCAGGGCAGCGGCCTTCCTGGAGGGGGGGGGCACCCGCACTTTGGCGAGCCTAGTGGCCTGCCAGGGGTCAACCTGGAGTGAGCACAGCAACGCACGTCTGGCCCTGCGCCTGACAAGGTGGGCGATGCAATCATAGATGTCGGTCCTGGGGGCAGGCTGGCGAGTATACAGGATCAAGGCCTCGTCCGCCGCTCTCCCCGCAAGGTCATCAGCGCACATGTTGCCAGCAGTGAGGAACGCTTGCCTAGCACTGAGAGCCTTGCCAGAGTCCTCAAGATGGGCAGCCGTCCACACGACCTGTACTTCAGCCGCCCCCCTATTACGCAACGCCACCGCCACCCTGAACCACAAGTCCTGATTCGGGCCTAACTTGCCGTGGGCACGACCCGCTCTCCAACCATCCAGGACAGGCTGGCAATCAGTGACATAAATGATGGGCCCCGTGGTTTCTTCCAGAGCGATGGCGAGCGCAGCTATCTCCGCGCGCGACACAGTCTGCCGCGGCCCCAGGAGGGGGGACGAAACTCCCGAGACGGGCTCCCAGGAGCCATCATCAGCCCGCCGAATGAGGGCGACTCCAGAACCACAGCGCCTGCGTCTCGGGTCACTGCTGTATTTACCCCCTGACCCATCTCCGAAAAGGTGGGGAGGGTCCTGGCCAGGGGCAACACAAAACTCACTGAGGCGAGAGGAGCCGTAGTACGAAAGAGGAGGGGCCCCAAGAGGGTCAAGGAAGACGGGGCAGGTGAGGTCTCTCGACGGGACTCCTCTCAGCCATAAGGAAGGGTCTGCTTCCCATTGCGCCGTGGCTTGGGAAACCAGTGATTGCGTGCTGCTAAAATCCTGGTGATCAACATTGCACACGCATTGCCATATTCTGTGAAACAAGGTCTCAGGGGCCGCCTTGCACCTTGGACAAGTTACGTCAACCGTGTAGCCACTGTCGGCTTGGCGCTGACGTGGCCATTGGCCCCCCGAGGCCACACACAAGGTGAGGCCCCACAGATCCGACTGACCCCGCGCCTCGAAGCGGCGGAGTTCCTGCTGCAGTGGGAGGAGATCAGCTCCTTCTTTCAAACTGTCGCCTGCCTCGTGCCCTGCAGCACCTTGCCACAACTTGGCCTTCATGTCAGCAACG